AGAAGAACGATTGGGGTTCTCGACCAAAGCCTTTAGTTCTAACAAGGACCTGACCGCAAGACAGCGGGTGAGGCGAAGTGGAGGCCCATTTATTTAGATCGATCACTCGTCTATCATTGTATTGACTGAGAAGATAACTCGAGTTTAAACTCCAATCTGGACGGCCAGGAGGTTGAACTTCTTCTCATTTGTACCCTACGACCTTCCAAGCATGATTGGATCTGCGGCTTGATAAAAGTCATCTTAAAATGCCATCACACCACGTCAATATGCTGTCTCATCGTGATGGACTGATAAACGCAAACAGCACTATATTAGGAGTTTTACACTTCAGAGAGAAATACACACATTCACAACTTTGGGGACACAAGTTTCCTCAAAATAACGTTTAAAACGACACTCACGGTTTGTCATCAGCGAATTTGGGACACCTCATCCCGGGACCAATTGCTACCACGTTTATGCTTACCAATAGGAGTCCATCATTTGTAAGACAGGTTAGGCGAACGTCTGGGAAACAGCTGAAACGATACATTTCAATTCGAAACCCGACTGAGAGTATCTCCGGACAGTACTCAGATGTTTCCAACTTACAATTCATGTCATCCGCTTGGTCCCAAAATCGGAATTGAAATTGCTTTAGCGAATAAAAAGAGAGCGGATTTGTAGTTCAGTGTGTATCACCCGTTGAACTGCGAAGTGATGACCGGTTTGCTTTTCCTGTGTGCGTATGAATGCACCTAACTTGGTTCGGCAATTTGTGTGGGCAGATTGCTTCATAAAACCGGAGTTTGGATTCTATGTAGTTTGGGAATTTGTACACTATAAATCGGTGCACATGGAATTCATTTCATTCGGGCATTCGCAACGGCCTTCGTTATTTCGGTACACAGGCAACGGGTCTGATAATGATGTGCCGTGTCAATTCACGACTCGCCGCTGAAACACTGAAACAAAATACTCAAACAAATCAGTTTCATTCATTGCAGTATTCTTCTACAAGAGATAAATAAATATATTTGCAGATCAATGTAAAATCATGTCCTGTTGATCCATGGACAAATGTATGACACATAGCTGTGAACAATGATGCACGAGTTGTTATATGTGACAACAAGGCCATCGCATGGATCCAATAGCTGGTATAAGTAAGTTTATAAAAGTGTTGGGTCGTATTGAAATAAAACATGATTGATCTGATCCCTTAACTCATGTTCCTTAACATAAACAAGATGAAAACTGCATCTACTACTAATCTCGATAGAAATGAATGCACAATACGTGCTAGGCTGCTATAACGAACGCCTAATTGTCAATGCGAGGTAACATTTTTATTCACTCTTTTATATTTTATCTCACCCGATACGCCCTCGATGCGTGGGGTACGTTCACGGCACACGTGCGCCGGATACATTTTACGAACGAGAGAAACTCACGTCGACATTGCAAT